TCAAGAGGGTGGCTGCTGGAAGCAGGATAACGCAAAAATGGCTGCCAGATAATTTCTTCGACCACTTACTTCTGGCCATCTAACTACCTAGACTGCAACACCTTTGATTATTATGTGTGGGGCGCAGTTGAGCTCGGGTCTTCAAAAGTCCTTGTATGATCAAAGATAAACTTAAGGCAAGGATTATAGCAGTATTCACCAAATTAGATCATGGAGATCGTCCAGATAACTTACTGGAGATTCCGAAGTCGTCTGGAGGCCATATTTGGAGCAATATTGGTATTTATTGAATAAATTTACTCTTTAGTATATCAAGATATTTTTGTGTAATTTTAGTAGATATATCCGTTTAAATGAAATATCACTGCTATTTTCATTTTTGTGTAATTTAGAGGACAATTTATCTATCGAACCATATATATATAGAAGGAATTGGTTAGGTAAATAATCCAAAGTCCTTTAGTATTTTAGTTATTATTTTTTTAAAAATAGTGCTCGATACAAAAGTAGAGCATAAATATAATTATTTATTTAAAAATATGATTCCAAAACGCTACATAAGAAGTCTCATGTTTCAAAACTCAATTTAATTTAAATAATTATATTGAAGTTTTCGGCTCTTGTTTTGAAACATGAGACTTCTTATGTAGCGTTTTGGAATCGTATTTTTAAATAAATAATTATATATATATATATATATATATATATATATATATATATATATATATATATATATAATATATAATAATATATTGAAGCAATCAACAATTAATCCAGTTACTACAACTGTTTAATAATATATATATATATATATATATATATATATATATATATATATATAATATTAATAATCATATATAGAAACAATCAACAATTAATCCAGTTACTACAACCGTTAATAATAATAATAATAATATATATATATATATATGTGTATGTGTGTGCGTGTGTGTATGTGTGTGTATTGACGCAATCGCCAATTGGTTCCTTAATCCAGTTACTAAAACCATTAATAATAATAATAATAATAATAGTGATAATATTTATAAAATCAGGAAGACGGCTCCGAATGAAGACGAAGTTAGTGTCGGTAAGGGAGATTATCACAATGAAAAGAAAGGTGGAACAGCAATAAAGACTATAGGGGTGGGCTCATGTTGAGAACAAAAAGGTAAGCAGTAAGCAATGGCATAGAGGAAGAGAAAAGACAAGAGAATGAATAAGAGGTACAGGGGACAGATGTGAGGGTTTGGGGTCTGGTCGAGACATTGGGCAATTCCATTATTATAGGCACGTTCGCTTTCTATAAACATAGAACTGACAATAATCAATATGGCGTCCTAACTTCCTCTTTTTATTATGATTTTTTTTAATCTTCAGTATGTTTGGACTTTGGAAAATTGAATTTATTGTTTTATTAGGGTTTAGAGTGTTGGAAAGAGGAAAGTGAATGCTGGAGAAATGTAAAGAATGAAAAAGAAAATGGAAAAGAGAGAGAGACGGTTAAAAAAGAGAGCGAGGAAAAGAATCGTTGGAAAAAGAAATTGGAAAGAAGTACAAAAGATGATAGAAAAAAGAATAGAAAAAGAAGAAGAAAAGGAATAAAAAAAGAAAAATAAGAGGGAAGAGAAAAAGAAGAAGAGAAGCGGGTAGAGGAAAAAAATGTAAAAAAGGAAATAAATAATAGGAAGAGAAAAATATGTAAAAAAATAAGAAGCCAAATTGAAAATGGAAAATAAAAGAAAGTGAGAAAGAGAAAAATGGTGTAAAAAAAGTAGCGGGAAGAGAAGAAAAAAAAAGAAAAAACGGATAAATGAATGAGAGAAGGAAATAAAAAGAAAGAGAAATGGAGAAAGAGAAAAAATAGGAAAAAAGGACCTTTAAAAAAAGGAATAGTGAAAGAAAAGAAAGAATAGGGAAAGGAAGAAATAAAAAGTGATAAGAAAAGAAAGGAGAAAAAAAGGGAAGAGGAAACGAAGAAAGAAGTCGTAAAGAAAAAGAAGAGGAGGGAAAGGAAAAGTGTGGGAAAAGAAAAAGAAGTAAAAAGAAAGTTAAAAAAAAATAAAGAAAGGTGAAAAAAGAATAGGAAAATGAAAAGAAGAGACAAAAGAAAAACAAAGAATTAAGCCCCCAAACGAAAGGGCAAGAAGTTAGAAGAAAAGAACAAGAGAAAAAGAGGGAAGGAAAAAAGAAAAGGATTGAAAGAAAAGAGAAAAGTAAGGAAAGAAAAGAGAAAAGGTGGGAAAGAAAAAAGAAAAGAAGGTAAAGAAAAGAAAAGAAGGGAAAGAAAAAGAGGAGGGAAAGAAAAGAGAAAAGGTGGGAAGGAAAAAGAAAAGGAGGGAAAGAAAAAGAAAAGGAGGGAAAGAAAAAGTAAAGGAGGGAAAGAAAAAGAAAAGCAGGGAAAGGAAAGAGAAAAGGAGGGTAGGAAAAAGAAAAGGAGGGAAGGAAAAAAAGGAGGGCAAGAAAAAAAGAAAAGGCGGGAAAGAAAAGAGAAAAGGCGGGAAGGAAAAAGAAAAGGAGGGAAAGAAAAAGAAAAGGAGGGAAAGAAAAATGATGCAGGAATTAAAAAGGAACAAGAGTGAAAAAGAAGAAAACAGAAAAGAAAAGCAAGGTGAATTAAAAAAAAGAAAGAAAAAAGTAAGTAGCAACAGAGAAGAGAAGAGGAAAGTAAGATAAAATGAGGTGGACGTAAAAGAAGGGCACGTGGAAAAAAAAGAAAATAAAGTAAAGAATTAAATAAATAGAAGAACGGGTAAAAGGAGAGCAAGGTGACTCAGAGATGCGTGCAAAATAAGGTATATATTGTCGATAGGTCGACAAGAATAGGTATAAATTGATAGATAAATGTGAACAGACTTAGATACATATTTACAAAGCTGGGCATGGAAAAGGCCACATTTGTTAGACGGGGGAGAAAGAAATGGTTGGGGAAAGCATAGCTCAGGGTTGACGCATAGATAAGTATTTACTAAGATTAAGTTAGTCTGACACAAGTTCACTAGTGTTAGATAAACAATGAGAATCAAACTCCTTACAGTCATTCTACTTTATTATTAGTTATTTTCTTCAACCTCTTAATTTATAAATGGATCTTTAACGTATGTATCGCATAAAACAATGAGCTTGCCCCACGTCTACTTTTCAGAAGAGTGCCTTTCCTTTAATTAGAGAACAATGCGTGTGTAGAAAATTTCGTACATATTTCTGTCCTCTTTCTTCGTTGATTGTATCAAGTAACAAAGAACACCCCGTTACTTGAACCTTAACTCTAGTTCACGTTGTGTGGTTCACAAACGACTTTCATCTCTCATTCTTCTTCACAGCTTAAATTCGAAGAGTCAAACTGTTATATTCTGTGCTAAGGGAATAAATACTTAACATCCGGTGGATAATAGAAGAAAGGTTTATTGTACACAACCAGTACAATATGAAATACGGTACAGTTATACACTCAGGTCAATCTAGTAGTGATTGCCACTAGTTGGAAGGTCGGACGTGCTTGCGTCTTCTCTCTCTCACTCTTAATATTTAACAGCCCCCACCGCCCCACGAGGGATGTATGTAGCACAAGGCCGAGTTTACCGTGGGCTCTCCAAGCCCGTAGGCTCGGCCAAAAATATTCCCTTAGAACCCGTATAAGCGGGTTCAGGGTCAGTCTACCTCCCCGGACGAAACTTTGCCTTTCGGCAAAGCCTCGCCCGGTTTACTCTCTGCTCGAGGCAAAGTGTTTAACAGTGAAGAACAGGAGAGAGCAATGTTCTCGCTCTCACTCTTCCCCCCAGTCTCTCGTAGACAGTTGACTTTATAGGTACTTACTTCCTATAGTGTAATCATTCATGACGGTGACTGTTTATTCCATTACATCACAAACTTAACCATTCATATTGGTGATGGTGGTCGTTTTAATTCGTTTAAGTCCGAAATTGTTGTCAGGCTAGTTATTATATCGCGAGTTTTATCGCCACAAATTTATATGTCAACGAATCCTGATCGCCTTTCCTTGAGTCGATACGACTTGTACATTGTTGACATTTCTTAAGTGTCGCGTTATTATATCTGTAACCGGACGTTACCGTCAGCTGGTTATCTTTATACGGTTGGTATAATCTTTAAACGGCTGGTATAATCTTTATACGGCTGGTATAATCTTTGGACGGAACAAGTTAATTCATTGTAGCCGAATTAGGTTTCTATTGAATCGCTGAGTTCCCTATTATTTTTCAATATATGCCACTTTCTATGTGCCGTGTCCTTTCAGGATGTGGCCGATCATGGCTCTCTACAATTTCCTGTCTTTTTGTTATATCTCCTAATCCCTCTTCAGCCAAACAGTTACAGAAGCTCGTTAAGTAAGTTATGGGCTGCTTTCATTTGTTCCTCCTGCCTTCAATATTTCCTGTGAGTGTCGTATTCTCCAAGCCCTCTTCCCTCATTATATGCCATAGAAAATTAAACTGTTTCTTTCTGATGTTAAGTATAAGTGTCCTTTTTGTTTCCATTTTCTTCTAAACTTTCGCCGTTGTCATGGTATTCTCAGCATCATTCTTACTGAACCACATTTTAAGTCTTTTCTTCATCTGTGAGAAGATTGTCCAGCATTCCCTCCCATATAGGAGAACGGATATTACACAAGCATTCTTTTCTTTGTTTCTTTGTTTCTAATGATATTTTTCTGTTTCTTAATATTTTGCTGTTCTTTTGGAAGGCATTTTTCGCTATCACAACGGTCACTTCGAAAATAGGTTCTCTATTAAAACACTTCCTAGATATTTTAATTTTTGTACTTGTTTAACACCGGTATCTTCAGTTCATAATGCACAAACGAAGCTCGATACACAATAAGAATATATGGTATACTTTTCACTATGTGATAATAGAAGATAATAGAAGGAAGATGACAGCAGTTGTAGTAGACGTAGAATAGGAATCGAAATATTAAAAAAGATAATTAATAAAAAAAGATATAAAAAGCTTCACGCAGAAAAAAAGTAAAGAAAATTTCATAAAATTAATTGACGAGAAAATAAACAAAGGGAAGGAAGGAAGGAAGGAAGGAAGGAAGGAAGGAAGGAAGGAAGGAAGGAAGGAAGGAAGGGTGAATGGATGAATGGAAGGAAAGAAGACAAGCAAGATGAAAAGAAGGAAGGAACAAAGTAAGGAAGGAAAGAGAGAAGGAAGGACAGAAGGATGAATGGATGAATGGAAAGAAGGATGGAAGGAAGGAAGGAAGGAAGAGAGGCAAGATGAAAAGAGGAAAGGAAGGACGGATGGATAGAAGGAAGGATGGAAGAAAGAAAGAAAGAAAGAAAGAAAGAAAGAAAGAAAGAAAGGTTGAATGGATGAATGGAAGGAAGGAAAGAAGAAAGAAAGGAAGGAAGGATGACTGGATGAATGGAAAGAAGGAAGGAAGGGAGGAAGGACGAGAAGCAAGATGAAAGGAAGGAAGGAAGGAAGGAAGGAAGGATGAGTGGATGAATGGAAAGAAGGAAGGAAGAAAGGAAGAAAGAAAAGGAAGGAAGGAAGGAAGGAAGGAAGGAAGGAAGGAAGGAAAGATAAATTGAAGGAAGGAAGGATGGATGGATGGAAGGAACGAACGAACGAAAGATGGGAGGAATGAATGAATGAAGTAAGGAAGAAAGGATGGATGAAAGAAAGGAAGGAATAAAGGATGGTAGGAATGAATGAAGGCATGAAGGAAAGAAGGAAGGAAATGAACTGAAAAAGAAACTCAGATCAAAAAATATAAAAATAAACAAGAAAAAGAACATTTTTCAGAGAAAGCCATAAACTATAAAAGACAAAAGTAAAACGAATGTCAGAAAGGCGACTTGAATTAGAAAAAATGAAAAGAAAAAAAGGAATACAAGAAAGAAGAAAATATTTAAGAAAGTGTGCAATAAAATCCCTCAAAAAAAAAAGAACAAGAAATGAATGAATATGAAAAGTAGTATAAATAAGCAAAAAAAAAAAAAATGAGAAAAAAAAACACAGGAAAACGTAAGCAAGGAATTAAAATAAATAATTATAACAAAAGTCACAAAAAAATAAAATAATAAAAATAAAAGACGGCCATATTAAATATCATACAGATTTTTATCTTTTTCACTAGAGAGCTACAATACGCCAACCACCACTCATGGAGGTCCATCTGGCGTTTAAAATGCAAAGAGCTATTCCGTGTCATTTTGTCTTTTTCAGAAGATGTTTTTTTATGCCTTGGCGTGATTCATATGTCAATACATATAAAATAAGCATATGTACGCAAGCGAAAATACTTGAATATATAAATATATTTACAAAACGGTAAATAATACTCATCAACCAATCAACTAACATTCTTGAAAAATATTGTGTAGCACACTTAAATAATTGCGTTCACATAAGAACCTACGGTGCCTGCTTCACGGATCCAGTAACGATGCAACATCATTTTCCTTTTCTTTTAGTTTTATAGCCTGGGCGGTAATTATGGTAGAGTGGTTTGTATTAGAGCTCTCTCACCTGATCTCTTCTCCGTCAAAAGTTGGTCAAGTTATTCTTAAATTCTTAAATATTCTTAAATAATTTCCTTCAGTCTTCTGACATACACCGAAATGGTTTGTATTTTGTTACGGAATGTTCATCATTTTTAGAATAATCTTTTTACATGACAGGATTATTTCGTTCCACGTTTAATAAACTTGATAAGAATTCCCTACGGAACGTTTATTTGAATACTCACTCTTATTTTAAAAGGTTGAAAAATTCAAACCGGCATAACTATTCAAGATGACACTGGATAATTGGTACAAAAGAATGTCTGTAGATTGCTGTCTTTTTCAAGAGAATTAGTACTCAGTTGAATATTATAACTTCGACCAGAATTCGCCGATTCAATAATTTCTTTTTCTGTAAAACTTTACATTGCATATTTGGTGTCTTCGAAATTGAAAAAATATCTAATGAAGTGTAATTTTTTTAAATGCAAATGTATGTAGGTTCTTGAGGGATTCTACAGCCGAACGATGAAAAGAAAGCTTTTGTTTTTCAACATAATCTCCTTTGTGTAAATCCACTTAAATATAGATCCTATGTATGGAATATTAAACAGTGAAAATTACACATAAAAATTCAACTAACTGAATTATTGATCAACATTTCTATTTCTATATGTGTGTGTGTGTGTGTGTGTGTGTGTACATGTGCGCATTTCTTTGTTTGTGCGTATGTGTTTGTGTGTGCATGTATTATTTAGAAAGAGACGCCTTTCGAAAAGCGATAATTTTCACGTATTTATATATATATATATATATATATAAAGATATTTTTATGTTTAACATTCTTTTTATAGATACAAATATTTAAGTAAATGCTCTGTTTATAATAAACAGCATTAAATAACATTTACCGGCCTGAATACCCGAGAAATTTTCATAGAAAATATTCGTCCTCCGACAGGATTCGAACCTGTATCCTATACGGAACCGTCATATAGCCTGACGTGCTTCTACCGATTTCGCTACAGAGGATCGATCGGTTAGCAAGGTCGAATGTTAAACATAAAAATGTCTTAGAAGAATTGTTGGACTTATATCCATTTATATTATATATATATATATATATATATATATATATATATATATCTGCGTCTGTCTGTAAAAATTTCAGATAAAACTACAATACATCTGTAAGAGGACAACATAAATAAGAAAAAATGAAAATATATAAATAAAAATGAAAACTTATCTTAGACATTTTCCATAATAAAGTTCGTCAGAGTACGAAGCACGCCGGCTTAGATAACGTTACCTTTTGCCTCTATTCATATATATATATACACACACACAAATGTAATAAGAACGAAAAGAATATAAATTCAAAACGTTCATAGCGTTAATTCAAAAGAGGGCTCCATAGCAAGAGTAGAGCAATAATTATTTATTATAATAACCGATCCTATTTAAAGAAACTATTTTTTTTTTTTTAGATAGGATCGATCATAACCATTTTTGTTCCTCATCCGTTGAGATGTCTAGATTCCTCAGATCCTGAGCAAGTAGGTTATGAAGTATATTATGATATTTGCTTGGATTTTTGGGAGTGGAATCAAGGCTTATTTTTCAGCACCTTCTTTCGATAAATAATAATAATAATAATAATAATAATAATAACATCGATTATATGCATACATATATTCATATAAATAAATCTATGTACCTTGGTATGTTAATAAGTACGTAGTTTACACCGCAAGTATTTATTTTTAACATAATTTCATTCCCTCTCAATGTACTTCGAACAACAATTCACCGTGGATCCCAAGGATAATAATTATTATTCGCTACCGACTTACTGATTCATCCTCGTAGAAAAGTAGATTATTTAAACATCGAAAGATTATTTTTCTATTAAAAAAGAAAAAAAATTACGACCAATGTCTATTGTGCTGTATGTAAAGTTTAAACATTTTGAAGATAACCTATTTTACTTCTTTATTCATATAGAGGTCATATAGGACTGAAAATCTACACGAAAGTGACACGTATTTCTCAGCATTTTTTCTTTCTATGCCAAAGATTTCTTTTCCTTGAAAGTTGAGTCTAATCGACGCTTGTGATGGTGCCACAGAACTTACAAAATCTTTGTCTCTTTTAGCAACAGGCCATTTCGTAGTAAAAAAAAAAAAATATCACGTTTTCATATGTGTCTATATTCAGGCATATCGATTTACGAATCGGCTGAGAGCTTTGAGGCTACAACGTGAGTGAAATTTAATTCCAGATAATTTTAGCGAAAAATGTTGGAAATTTTTAGAAAAAGAAACCCCCACCGCCAACAACATCCCCACTCCCCAAAAAAATAAGTAAAAGAAATAAGATAATAAAACTAAAATTTAAAAAAAAAAAATATTTTGGCGTGAGTAATAAAGATGACCCAACTGATAACTTCGTGCTTACCGTCTCAGTTTAGATGTTCTTTATGAAAATTTTAGTTTAATCCATCACTTGTAAGCAGTCTGCGCATAAAAGCTATCTTATACAGATTCTGCATGTTAATTTGTACGCAAATAACATCAGCGCATGCGTCGAAAACGACAGCGGATAGAATAAACACTCACACAAACACACATATGTATATAACAAGGTTTGTTAAATTCAAACATAAATGTTATATATATTTGACCAACAAAGTTTGTTTAGTTTTTTACTGTATTTTTATCATTTCACCCCAAGCAAGGCAATAAAACCACTAAGATTCAAAGGATTACAGAGTGTAATTATTAGGAAAAAAAACATCATTAAATGAATCGATCGTAGTCGGCATCATCGACTCAATGCGAACGATCCTTATCAGGGCTACATACAGTTTTCAATTAAGAGATTTCCTTCTCCTAGACTGGTTGCCGTCCAAGGCTATAGAACCCAGTCTGTCCTGCTATATACCCATAGTTTGGTGGGGAGGAGAGATAAATTCTGAACACAACTGGAAAACGAATTCGGCTCACTGATTCTTCAGCCCGAGCCACAATCCATTACTCTACAGAGCCTTCGACATTATTAAGGAAAGATCCTGTTAAAGAACATGAATTAAGAAGACAGTAGATAACGATTGACATTGCATTTAGATTTTTGAATATCAAAGTTGATCGAAAAGCTTATGGAAGAAAGTTCCATAAGCGAGAAGCGGGAAAGAAAAACTTACATTTCTATCTAGCCATTTCAACTGTAAAATGATGAGACCTAACTGCCAATCTAGTGCTGCAATTAAATTCATAAAGTCTAGGGACCAAAGAGAAATGCTTATCAGAACAATTACCATGAAAATTTTAAATAAAAAGATTTATAAATTTAAGAATATCTTACTGTATAACCCGATCAAAAACTGTGGATCAAACTGTCCGGAGTTCATGCTTTAGGTCATTTTATCTTAGAGTTCTTTTGAGTTCATTCAAGAAGAAAATGGAATAAATATCATAAAGAAAAAAATTCTTAGCTTCATCATGGAATTTGTGCACTGACACTTTTAACCGCCAACAAAATGAAACAGATTTTATAGGTTAAATTTTCTACAATTATATATTTAATACAATTATATATTTAATACAAATATATATATATATATATATATATATATATATATATATATATATATATATATATATATATAAGCAGTATATCTTCATTCAAGCATGTTTGGTTGAATAATTTAGACATATTATGTCGATTTTAATTGAAACATATATATATATATATATATATATATATATATATATATAGACTAATATCTAAATTATTCAATGCATATATACATACACACACACACACACACACATATATATATATATATATATATATATATATATATATATATAAAATGAATAAACATAATATGACAATATTATTCAACCAAACATGCTTGAATGAAGATATGCTGTATATATATATATATATATATATATATATATATATATATATATAAAAGAAATATGTTGTAGTGGTTCCAACGAGAGAAAAAGTATGTATATTAAAAAGAAGAGGGTGCCGCAAACGTTTTTTGGGTTGTAATGTGGATTTATTGAGAAAAAATATTATACTTTGTTTTACATAATTTCACGACACGTGTTTCTGGTCTGGTCTCGCAACCGTCTTCAGGTGAAAGTGGAAGTATCCAGTGGTGACAGTCTGTTTCATGCTTAAACGCAATCGTCAGGGGATGTGCGTTGTTTATTGGCTTGACTATTTATATATGCTGGTCAATGGTGCATTATGGATAGGTCTATAGTTTTATT